ATCCCTCACTTTTCTTACCTACCTGTTTTGATTGTGTCTGGAGAAATGGTTGCCTCGTAGTGTTTGTTCTAAGATCACTTAATKTATTCTGTTGATACAACACGAGGTAGTCAGAATTCTCGACCACAGTCTACCCTAACTTGATCCCACAGATCATACTGTAAACATGCTGATCTGAGTTTAGAAAAACAGACATGAGGTGATGGAATATCAAAATCAGAAAATTCTGGATATCAGTTTTTTTCTGCGCTCTCTTTTTATATTTTCTTCTCGCATAACTAGCCACGCTGGATATATTAAAATTCAAGCAAAAATACCAATGCGATAACATATCAAAATTGCCTTCAAACTCCAAAAGATCTGTTATCAATACAGTGATACACTTTTTCGTATATACATGAAGTACTATGTGAAAAAGGYCTGACAATCAACTGAATGATTRAAAAGGCTCCAAGACAAATTCCTTTTAAAATGTTTATCGAACATTTATAGTCTTTACCTACGGTAGCCGAGAACGGACATAAAAAAGTCAAAATCAAAAATATTACAAAGTGAGTTTGTCTTTTAAATCAATTTCCTACTTTTGACATTTTTGATTTTGACTTTTTTTATGTCCGCTCTTGGCCACCGTACTTTACCTGTAAACACTATCATAAATAGTCATGTTGTTTTTTATTGGCATGGAGCAAGCTCCAACAMTCTTCCCACTGTACCCATCAGCAGCCAAAACATGTGTTAATCCAAACATAACCAGTTTCTCGTTTTGGTCCATGTGAAGTTTGTGTCCTGCATACTCTGCGAAGTAGGGTAGTGGATTTCTAAGTCGTTCTGTTCCATTTCGTCTTTGTGCCTGATAAACAGGTGCTACTCTAGTTAACGCCCCACGTGCGGCTCTTTCGCCGATTCGAAAACCTCTACTTCTAAGAAGTCCTGTAAACATTCGCCTTCCATACGTTGGACCAACCTTAACGAGGTAAATTAAGTCCTTTTAAGTATAGCAGAGAGGTCACACATCCTATCCAATAAGTTACTTRATGCTATACTTACTTCCTGAATAAGTTCTCTCGCAATGGTATCAATGCAAGTTCGGGAAATCCTACCGTAGTCGTGCCGATGAATGTCTCTCAAAGAACAGAAGACTTGTAGATTCCTTTCAGAAYGTCCTCGTYGTAATCCATAATTCTCGGTTAAAAACACTCCAACTTCACGAAGCGTATATCCAAAATCTTCTATAAG